TCCGCCGGCGTCTTGAAGAATGCACGGTGGAGCATAATCAGAGCGAGGTGGAGGTGCGGGAGTTGCGCAGCGAACTTTCGGCGGTGCAGCAAGTCCTGCAGGAAAAGGAGAATGTGTTGGCAAGCGAGCGCGAGAGGGCCCGTGAGGAGAGCCGTCGGTTGACTGCGCTCACCGCCGCCAAAGAGACGCTTCATAGACAAATAGAAGAGCTCCGGCGGCAGATTCAGTCGCTGCAGCTGCAGCTTTCGGTGGCACGACAAGGGGCGCAGCAGAGCAATCACACGGCTGCCTCCCAGCACAGTCGAATGGAGGAGCGCGTCGCGGAGCTCACGAAGAGACTGAACGCGGTTGAATCGGAGAAACAACAGTTGGATCGTCAGACAAACAACGACAGAAGGAAAATTGCTGTTCTTGAGAAAGAGCTTGCCGAGTCACGGAAGCGAGAAGCTGAACTCTCCAGCCAACTTCAGGCACGTAAATCTGAGAACTCGGCATTGAAGGAACGTTGTGCCAATCTTGAATCGCTTAAAAACATTGGGGAAGTCACCCTTGCAGAAACACGTTTGCGGGAAAAAGACCTCCTTGAAAAAATTGAGGAGATGCGCAGTGCGCAGCAACTCATGCAGCTCTGCTTTGACAAGCAACAGGAACAGCTAGAGGTGGGCCGTCGAATGCATGAACAAGACATCAACCGAAGTGGATTGTTATACAAAAATGATCGCTGACGGGTTTTTTTGATGCTAACTGCTCAAGTGATACATTTTTTTTTTTTTTTTGTTGGGGGATTGAGAGGGAGCCGCATGTATGTCTCTCTCTCTCTCTCTCTCTGTGTGTGTGTGTGTGTATTCCATATTGCTGTTGTTGGGGGATAGAATGAAATGATGGCTTTGGCAGTTGTTTTTAGGTGGAGTTTAAATTGTTGATTTTTGATCTGAAGTTTTTTGTTTTACCCTCTTTTCCACTTTATTTTTCCATTTTTTTTTATTATTGTTATTTTCTCTCTTCCCTTTTAAACTCCATTTTTATCCGCTGTCGCTCTTTCAGCAGCAGAAACGGCCATGGATGAAGTGCGGGATGGGATCCATTATGCCTGGAAAGGGGCTATGCGTGGGGCAAAGAAGGGACTGAAGCTTACGAAGAATGTGCTGCGCAGCATTCCTGTTGAAAGGCTGCGCGTGCCAGGCCAAAACGGCGTGATGAGTCGTACCGGGACGTTGCGGCGCCTTTTTCAGCTGCGGTACGGTGCACAGATAGACAATGAGCGCGGTGAGCGTGTCGCTGCGGCGGAGGCGACGGATTTTGAGTCTGAGGAGGAGGAACCTCTCACCGACCAGCAGCTGCACGAGCACGTTGACAAGAAGTACTTTGACAAGTCCTATGAGGCGATGAAATACGAAATCACACAGATGGAATTTGTCGATGGTAGGGGACATGGCGGTGATGATACACAGCTGCAGCTGCAGCAACTGCAACGACAGGCAACGGAGGCATCAATACGTGAGCTGCGGCTGAAGTGTGATCTTGTGAGCGCCACGCTTAAGAAGCGTGTGCTTGCAAACAGCAAAGGGTTTGTTAGCGGCGTAGAGGAGATAAGACTTATTAACGACCGGCTCCTGGAAACATCCAGCGATTGTAAGAAGGGACGCAATGTCATTCGCAAGGCAAAGAATGCGGCGGCGGAACAAATGAAAATATTGGCATATCACCGCAAACGCGGCAACTGCAAAGCTACGCTATCTCTTCTTGAGGCGATGCGACAACTCTATTGGAAACGCAGTCAGCTCATGACGCTTATCGAAGGTGGTAAAATTTTCGAAGCGGCGGAACTGCTTCAGCAGCATGGTGATATTGAGCACGAGGATCGCATTCAAAAGATGCACTGCATGGGCCGCATTATCGACGAGTGGAAGGAGTACCGTGATAACAAGGAAACACTGAAGCGTTGTCAAGAAGTTTCACTTACGGAATGCCTGACAGCAAAGTTTATCCCCTCAAAATATTGCAATGCATTTGAGGCTTCATACGCGCTTGGAACATCCGATCATGTTTGTGTTCTTGTCGTAAAGACGTTGTGGAAGTCTGCAGTGTACATTCTCACAAAGTCTCTTATAGAAGTTTCTGACATCAAGGAGGAGGACGTCTCTATCGCTGATATTGCCGCGGCAATTCACCCAGATCATCTGATGCTTTGTCTTTGTCAAATGTCCGCCAAAATAATGGACTTTTTATTTCTGTTTGCCACCGTGCGCAAACTGCATAAAGACTCCAGTCGCGCAGATTACCCGCTTGCTACACTGCACGCTGCAGCGCTAGAGGAGATCACAAAAGTAGGCCATAAACTTGGACAGGATTTGGTGGAGAAGATTGCTCTTGTGCTGGACAAGTTGCAATTGGGTTCGGTTGACGTGGAGCGGGTTCTGCACCTGTTTTTTGTAGTCAGCATCCTAATCGAGTCTATTTCTGTATTGGGTCTCGAGAAGAGTGGACAAGCCGCCGCTCGGACGCAAGTAAAGGCGTCTTTAGTGCGATACATGACGCAACAGTTTCAGGAACCGAAGGCCATTCAGATTTTAAAATTTATGGCTGAGGACGCCTGGGTTGTGGGTGGGGTGAGCGCGTTGGAACTGCAGGTTGTGTTGCCTTTGCCGCCCGAGACGTACCGTTGCGCGGTGCGGGAAGTGAAGGGGTATCTCACGGAGGCCTCCATTGACGCTCCGGGAAGTCACGAGAATCCATTCTACGCCACCCATATGTTGACATTGCAGGATACCTCGCATATGGTGCAGACGGAGTCTTTTCGCGAAGACGTTGCCCGTCGCGGGGCGCAAGGAGTACCATCCATGCTAACAGCGTCATCCGTTGCTGTTGCGAACACGTTGCTAGAATACGTTGCGAGGATTGTAGCACGCTTTGCACCGTTAGCAACGGAGACACTTGGTTGGGCAGAAGATCTTGTTAGTTTATATGTTTACACGGCAGCGGATAACTTTGTTTCGATCTCCCGGGCAGTGCGACTAGAGCACCAGGTGGATTTGAGCGAGTCGACACAAGCGACACTTATTGAAATGCGTGCAGGGGCAGAGAGGGCGGCGCGACAATATACAGCTGCCGCTGTCTCTTCCACCTCCCCTTCTTCCTTTACTACGGAAGATGACCTCCACGGATCTTTTCCTCCACGTGTTTGGAGCCGCATCCACAACTTCATGACAAGCCAGACGCATCAATACGCTCTTGTTAGCCGGGCAGTGGCAGGACAATCATGCGTGACGCTTGTTCATCTTCTGGAGGCGACCATACGATCCGTTGCCCCGTTGCTGCCCCAGGTGACCGTGGAACAACGCCTTCAACGCTGCAATAGCATGAAGGCTGCTGCTGAGGAACTGTTGCATGTAGGCCTTCATCGTTTATGTCAGGCCATTTTTCCCATGGAGAACGTCATTCAGAGCATCAGTAAACTACGGGCAAGCGAAAAGGAAGTGCAAGCAAGTCTCTACGTGAAACAAGTTGTGGAGGAGATGGGACTACTTAACGCGAAACGTCAAACGATGCCGACGCCAGAGCTGGAGCAACTATTTATGAAACGCCTTATCTTTGCAGTTCAGATGACATTGTTGAGAGAATACTGTAGGTTGGCCAAGAAGAAGCTTTCAGATGCCTTCATTATGCAACTTTCAGTGGATGCACAGAGTTTTCAACAAAAAGTAGGGGCCACATTTGGCAAGGCTCTACTCGTCCTACCGGATCTTCTTTCAAGCTTTGTGAAGGCCGGATTTATTGAAGAGAGGGAACAGCGATTGGAGTGGGTAAAAACACATCACGCAACTTACTGCACTGTGGATATGGTCCAATGGTTTTCTGGCGGCGATCGTACCATGAGACTGCAGCTGGAGGACGTTCTGGCGCAGGTGAGGCACCGGGATGCGATTCCTGTCTTGCCATTTCGATAGTAGTTGGTGTCATCTGCGCCACTAAAAAAGAAATGCTTCCAGTTTTGTTTTCGATTGTGGTCGTTTTGTTGTTGTTGTTTTTTGGAGTGAACATGGCTTGTTGAGGGAAAGATTGGGAGGGTTGAATGCTTGCCTATATTTTTCACAATTTTTGTTGTTGGTGTTTTCTGGAGGTTATACTGTGGGGCTCATGCGAAAGGTTGGGGGAGGTGAGTAGAAGAATGAGGTGTTTTTGTGTGTTTGATTTTCGTTTCTCCCTTGTTTCTTGGCAGCACTTTTACTCCCCTGCAGATCCCAGCCGTTGGCGAGGGCTTCCGCAGCTGGAGACTCGGGAGGGGTCCCAAGGAATGTCCCGTTTGGAATGCCGAGCCCGAATGGATGTAATGGAACGGTGAGGGAAGCCATTGGAAGGGATTTTGACTCCGCGTGTTCCACTTGCACTCTTATTCCCATTGGTGGGTCTGAGAGCCCGGCGATCTCAATGCTTGCACTCTCAGCTTGTGTGCGTGCATGTGTTTTGTTTTGTTTTTTTGAATTTTGTTGAGGGATGTGCATCTATACAGGAACAAATAAAAGGGCAGGGGTATTCATCGATCCAACCTGTTTGTTTACAATTTGATGATTGGATTGGTTACCAAAGACACCGCGTTGGAGGATGGCGAGGAGTAGTTGTCTCGTCCATCTCGCTCAGCCCCCGACGACGACTACTCTCCACGCAGAGGAAAGTCCGACGGTTGTGGGACCCCGGGAAAAACCTGCTGCTTTGCGGGGTTACGGCGAGCCCGGCTATCATGGATTGCTTTGTGACCCAAACTGCCCACCGTTGATGTATGCATGTGGACTCAACCCCTTCTGAAGTGGGAAATGTTGAGCCCATCAAAATGAATTGTGATCTTCTTTTGTTGTTGTTGTTGTTGTTCCGTGTCTTTTTGTAGGAATAGGAGGAAAATTTCTCAGTCAGACGCATATTGTGTTTTCTTGCCTCGCCGAAAGACATGGGAGTTTCGCAGTGTGCCTCTCTCTCTCTGTGTGTGTATGTGTCATTTTTCTCTTTTTTTTCCTGTCTGCACCATTCCCTTTTGTCTCTCTCTTGCTCGCCCGCCCTGTGTTTTCCCTCATTTATTTCTCTTCCCTTTTCTTGTGATGCAAATGCATACGTGTTTTGATGTTTCCGGCGCAGGAATTCCTCAGATATTCAATGAAAAGTCTTTTACTAGCGTCCAGCTTGGCGGTGGCAGCTGGTTGGGCGTACGTGCGGCACATTCAGCTTCCTGCTGGGCCATCGCGCCTCGATTGGGGGGCATGTGTCTTTGGACATCGCGGCTGCAGAGGTGTGCCGGGAGTGCCAGAGAACACACTGGATGCTTTTAAGTACGCCCTTTCGCGCGGTGCGGCCGGCATAGAGGTCGACGTGCGGTTGACGAAAGACAACGAACTCGCCATATTTCATGACTTCTCTTGTAATGGTCACCTGAAAGGGGTGGAGACAACAAAGCGCATAGATGAGCTCACACTTCACGAGCTGAAGAGTCTTCCGTTTCAAGCCGATCCAACAGGACAAATACGCCTGCCAACATTAGAGGAATCGCTCCTGTTTTGTCGGGAAAACAAACTCAAGATGCTCATTGAAATCAAGGAAATGCGGAGAGCGCGGCTTTGCGCAGACAAAGTTTTGGATTTGTACCGCCGCTATCCAGATTATATGTATGAGCATACAGTCATTATTGCGTTCAACCCGGCGGTACTTTATTATGTGCGGGAACGGGACCGTAACGTGGCGGTGGGACAACTCCACTCTGGACGAGTTTTGCGCTCATGGATTAGTTCGGGAAGCGTAGAGGTGCCGTGGTACGCACGTCTCTGCCCAACTGTTCTGGACTGGTTGCTGAATTATGTACAGGAAAGTATTAACCCGTGGCTGTCGGGCGTTTCATTAATGTGCCCACACTATGATCTCTTTTCCGAGACCTACAAGCGCCGTTGGCACACGCGCAAGATTGGTGTCCTTTTGTGGGGTTTCTCTTCCCCAGCGCAGTGCACCCGCGAGATGCGGACGCCGGGCGTGATTGTTGAAAGCGACGATCAGCACGAAGAATTTGCCTCGCCAAAGCCACCGGCGAACTTTGATATATTTGGTGACCAGGCCCGTGAACGGGAGCGTGAGGAAGAAGAGCAGCGGCGTCGTTTGAAGTTGGGAGCGGAGTAATGAAAGAATGAGGCAGCCAAACCGAAAGGGGAGGAAAAAAAGAAAAGGGGGAAAAAAGAAGAAGCCAAAAAGGGCACGGGATGGATGAGGGAATGAGGGAAGAAAAAAAGAAAAAAATAATAATGATAATACGCGGTATGGAGAGAAGAGGAATATGCACGCATGTATGCATGCATGAATGTACATTTATATTATATATCTATAATATAATATATTTGGCGAAGCAGTAGTGATATTTTTCCGCTTCTTGGCGTGTGTGGCGCTCCTTTGTGCATGCGTCTTGATCACCCCCCCCCCCCCC